ATAGCGTACCGGTACTTGGATTGTTACTCACTAATTACATAAAACTGATATGGGTTTACTTTGACTGACCCGTACACTAGTAATTTGTTAATTAACTACATGTAACATTAGCTGTTGACCAACAAAGATTGCTGACATGTGTAAGGTAATATATCATCACTGACTTTATAATTTTCTTGGAAAAAGTATATATATTTATTTCAAACTATACACATATAATTAAAACTATACATTTTTGTTTCAAAGAACATGTATAAAATAATTACTTTATACAAAATAAGTTGCTTAAATATATCTTATTGCTTTACTTGATACAGGCGCACAAAAAAAAAAAAAAAACAAAAACAAAAAAAAAAAAAAAAAACAAACAAAAAAAAAAAAAAAAAACTAAAAAAAAAACCCCAAAAAAACAAAACAATGAGAAAAAAACAAAAAAACAAAACAAAAAACAAAAACAAAAACAAAAACAAAAAAAAAAAAACCAAGGAAATAACATCATGTCAATAACATCAGAATCCGAATTGAAATTCAGCAAAACTCGGACAGAATATGAACAAAAGAAAGATATATAAGGAAACTATACAAGATAGTAAGATCAAGTGAGCCTGAAGGGTAAGCGTCTTCTGCTTCATCGACGACCTTCGCCATGTAAATCTTGGTTAATCCAAATAAGTAATGTCACGTTCTCAAATAAGAACAAGGTATATAACAACAGAATCAACAGGCAATCATATCGCGCCAAGAAACAAGGAGAGCACACTCCGTAAAATTTCCCCACAATATTCATCAACCAGCATCTTTTGAAAACCCGTGTTACAAGTGTGTCCTTCAGTTGATGACTTTTTACACGAAAATCGAATCGTGTAACCAAGAACAGACCTCTGAATATCGAATCAACCGTGACATGCACACACCATTAGGCGAAAAATCTTGTATCATTCCTTCGATGTATCTGTCATATCTTTGTCTGGATGTCAATTAATACCTGCCACTGACACGTTAGATAACTTTGAGGTAACTGTTCTACTGTCCGTGTATTGTTTTCCCGAGATGTCTGTGATAACGAATGAATTCATTTTAAGAATTTTTACTTGTGTTAAATGAATCTTCGATGTAAAACGTTGGTAAAGTCGAGACTTTTGTGATATATAGCCTACAAACTCGCTATTAGAATCGGTCCATAATTGTAACCCGGATGAACTATTGGCTGAATCTATATCCTCGATCATAGCTCGGTTATAAGTGTACCCAATGTTGTATTCTAATAAGACAAAATTTCGACATCAAGCTCACAAGCAGACGCACCTGCACCGAATAGTGAAACCAAGCTGATTTAATCTAAGAAATTGTCAACTCCGAAAAAGCCAAATGATTGCAGAAAAAAGGACAAACAAGTGGATAGCATATTTCTATTAAATCATCAACTAAACTGGTTTTTGTATCTGTTTTGTCCCTTTTTAACCCGTCAGTGGTGCTAAGGGCATACATTGCTAAAAGCTAGAAAGCGACTGAGGAAAACCGAAGTTGGTTAAAATAAAAGTCAGAAAACAGATTGCAATGACAAAATCTGCCAGTTATATGTCCACTTTTTATTAAACCAGAGGCACAATGTGCAATAGCTTTAGGGGTCGTTAAAGAAATACTCTATATATTCGCAGTATAAAACAAAATTGTGGTATAATGTACATTTTTGTATATACTGAAAGGTTTAAAAATGTTCCTACATTATGACGCTTTACTACTGTTCAGCTTAACGCTACGAACATCAATCATCAGATCTACGACAGGAGTGTTTCTGTCAAAGAATGTTACAAAACACACAAAATGACGTAATTGAGATTTCATCAATCACATCCATAGTATGTAACTTCAGTTAGCACATTTAATTGACAGCGGTAGTGAGATGTGTGGAGCTCTTACACAAGCAAATCTGATTGTTCGCCTCCCGAGAGTCTATACTGACGCGTAACTCAATAACTTGCACTACTTAAGAAAAAAAACAATATTTTTTTTATTTTACGCTCTGACAGAAACTTAATGTCACAGACAGAAACTAGACATGTTTTTTCAGTAGGCTTATAAAGTTTTCAGCTTTTGCTTTCAATACCAATCAAAGCATATTTTGTTTGTAGAGATGCGAAACACATCAAACCTTTACTGGAGTGGCCTATTTAAGTACGCATAGCCTTCAACGCACTGTCACGTTCATCACCGTCAATGGAGATTAGTGTTTGAATTGATCTAAATGACGGCAAGCGTTACTGTCACCGTTTCCAGCACTTCGATCAGACACATTTCACCATGGCTAGCTCTATCTTGCCGTTTCGGTGAAGACTAGATGTGGCGCTGTAATTAGAGGTATTGAATCTTCTGTACGATAACATGAAAACGTTCGATAAATGATAGAATCTGATCGTGTAATGATGATATGAAGACATTGTCAGCACGTGAACAAGCAGATGTTAGGAACACGTCAAGACTGTCTGTTCACAATACAGTCAAGGACATTCCGACAATATCTTAGTGAGGGTGTCTGATTTTAACATAATACTGCGGATTTTTAATATGGGGACAAGCTTTCAATGTTAACCTGTAATGCATTGAGAGAGAAAAAAAGTTCCCAGATAACAAATCGGAATCGTCCAGTCACTACACATGTGTTATAAAAAGAGGATACGGCACATACGTAACTTATTTTGGGGGTTTTTTAAAGCATTTTTTATGTCTCCATCAAAGATATACATTGAGTGTTGTCAATCTCTGTGTGTGTGTGTATGTGTGTGTGTGAGAGAGAGAGAGAGAGAGAGAGAGAGAGGGAGAGAGAGAGAGAGAGAGAGAGAGAGAGAGAGAGAGAGAGAGAGAGAGAGAGAGAGAGAGAGGGGGGGGGGGGGGGGGGCGGGGGGGGAGAGAGAGAGAGACCTTGTATTTCATGATGATACACATTCTCTAATCAAAACCAGTTCTTAGAAAGAGATACTGTGTTTGTACTTGGTATTTTTGATATTGAAAACAAACATCCCGTTATCAGACTAAGGTACACCAAGCTATAAGTCACAGAGAACTTGAACGATCAATAGAATAATGTATAGATTGTTCTTCCAATGGTTAAAATGTTCCTGGTTTTACAAAAAAAAAAAAAAAAAAATTGAAGAAAGAGAGTGACTGTCTATTTCTTAAGGGGGCCGCGGTTTTCTTTATTAGTTTCATATACAAAAATTGTTTTCTTGATTGATTCCGTCGTAACATCGTTGTTCCATGTTCACTTTTAAATGTAATATTCTATAATGTAACTTCAACACTTTATGTATCCAATTATTTATTTATTATTATTTGAAAACAATATATCTTTCTTTTGTTCATATCTTGTCCTAGTTTTGTTGAATTTGAGATAAAATAATGATTCTGTTGATATGTTGGCATTATCCTTGTTTTTCTTTTTTTCTTCTTCTTCTTCTTTTTTTTTTTTTTTTTTTTTTTTTATTTTGTTTCTTTTATGCAAAGTTCTTCATAGACCCCTCAATACAATTTCAGATTTGGATAAAATATAGCAAAAAATCCATTGTACTGAATCATACAGTTGTTTCATCTTTTCTACAATGATTCGTCATTTATGCTTGATACCATAATCACCTTAAGTGATGATGATGTAGAAACATTAAAACTGAAGGAACAGAATGTCGAAAAAGGATGACAAAGTACAATAGCACCCTAATCTAATCCAATCAAAGTTTTGTTCAAGATTTTAAAAGATTTTAAAACATGCATGTGTATATTCTGAACTTGTGTCGATCTAAACTCACAATTCACAATAAGGTGGCAGAGTATTTTCAAACCATACTTCATAGTGACAAGAAATAAGCCGTGGTATCATTAATGATCAGAGTGTATTGATGCATTAAATGTTAACAGCCAGCGTGTAAGTTATGCAGAGTTACCCCCCTTCGATGTCTCTCTTGTATTCAGATAATTGTAACAGATTATCCGAATCTATCCAGAAATGTTGTAGATATTACTACAGCAGTACTACTGAACAGTGGATGTCGAAAGTCATTGGATATGTCAGTGAAGTATAAAGGAAATTTCCGGTTTGAGGATAACTGACAATGCTTTGCTGGCTTACATAAAAGAAATTTTAATTGGTAAAACTCATGATATTTTCAATGTGTGACGCGTATATAGTTTGATGAGGTATTCCTGGTTTCGGAGGTAGGCCTATTGGCTACTTTCTATCATTTTTTCTTGGAAACTTTTCTTTCTAGGCGTTCCAGAAGAGTAAGCGTTTTATGCTTCATCGACGACACCCAACATGTAAATCTCGGTCATTCCAAGTAAGTAAAATGTCAAAGTTCTCAAACGAGAACAAGGTATACAACAACAGAACCAAGAAGCGAACTTACGATCATCATAAACATCCAACTTTATATAGCACAAATAATTAGAAGGTGTCTGAATGAGATCACTATGACAAACGTAAAATTTCCCAATAATTTTCACCAACGACTGGAATTTTGTTAATACTATTTCGTTGTTTCCTGACGATTGATTTAAACAAATATGTATTCGTGTTTTCAACATTTTATTTATCTATTTCGTAAAAGATAAACTGCTGATCCTTGTACAATTTTTTAAACACCGGTTTTACAAATACATTTTGTACACTTACATTGTCAAACATGATAGTACAAAAAATATAAATTCATAAAAAAGTGATATATGATAAAAATTGTGTCTCGATATTTCTGATTTAATCATAAATATGTACCTTGTTATAACTTTATTGATATGGACGCAGTATTATTATTAAACTAATACTGTAAAAAGATTAATTTTCGTTGGGATTTATTTAACATTTATCGACAAAATCAAGTGTTATTTTTAAGAAACCACGAAAATTGAGCCCCGCAAAAAATTATGATATATCTATTACATCCATGTAAACATAATCTTGATAAAATACAAAAACAACATATTCATAACAGAGCACGTGCAGTATTGAGCACCACTGAATCCTTCAGGTTGTATATCGTTGCATCTATATTTGTTGTTAGCGACGCACGCGGCGTACGTCATTACGTGCGCTATATAGTGCTGCTCGTGAACGCCGTGAATCAGGTGTGACATCGGTCCACGTGCGTAGATGGCTACATCCTCCCCGCCGTGTGTTTCTGAGCCCCTCGGAGCTGCTGCCACCTGGAGGTAGTCTTTGTCAGCTATAAAAACCAAATATCAATAACTTGTTAAGTCGTCCATGTAAACGAAAAAGGAACACTGACTAGATAAAAAAAAAATGATTGAAAAAAGATTTTTCAACTTAGGTGTATAATTTCAAGGACAAAATATGCGTAATAATTGTCATACTTTCTAAAGAATTAATCAGTTATCATATATGTACGTAAGAAATTGTTTGCATAAATATTCATAGAATGGCATATGTACAAATCTCCCTTGTGTCATGGCGGACCCCTCTAGTGGTATCCCAATCCCTCTTGTGCCATAGAGATACAAATATTATACAAAAGATACATAATACATTTAAATAAAAACAGCACAAGAGTATCAAACAAGTGCCTTGTCCTTCAAGGTCATTGGTGCTAAAGGTCAAAATTATTGAAACGAAGACGTCAGATGGAGAAGGTGCACCATGCATGTCTATACAGTACTTACTTGTGTCCACAGCAGACACGTTGGTCCTATTTCCCCAGTCGTAACTAGCTCCATTACCGTACAGTAAAGTGGTAAACGGTATACCATCCTTTGCTAAGTAGGACTTGCCAACATTGTTTACTACACCTTTAAAACAAACAAAAATGTAAACATTCTTTTCATTTGGGCATTGCATTTTTCGATTTCGAGATAAAATCTTAAGTTCTACTTTGAATAAATTCTTAAACAAATGTCTGGGCGTTTACTTTGACGATGCTGTCTCATTCCGGATATCACGTTCCATCGATGTCGTTGACTCGTTTTTAATATTACTTACCAAATATATCGTTGCCTCGTTCCTGGTATCCAGCAATGTTAAAGACGTGTGAATGATCAGCAGTAACAATGATAAGTGTTTCACTTTCGTCTGTCATATCCATGGCAACCTTAACGGCGTCCTCCAGAGCCAACACCGAATACAGCGACCTCTTGGCGTTGTTGTCATGGTGAGCGTGATCAATCCGTCCCTCTTGACCGCACCAAAAAAGTAAACAAGACTTGCATGTTTAACATAAAAACATGTTTATCGCTCGTATTTGCCTAAAATCTTTGTCGACCAAAATTGTTATCAACGTCATCTAAATATTCCAATTATTCACTGCTTCAAATTCTGGTGTACTCTCTTTCTCATATATTTTATTCAAGACGAAAATTCAACTCTGTGATAACGGCTAATTTTCAATATGGGACTTTTTTACCTTCAACCATAAGGAAGAAGCCATTTTCGTCCTTTTGAAGAACTTGGATAGCCTTCCGCGTCATTTCCGCTAGGGAGGGTTCACCATTCGACCCATTGTTTCTGTCCAACTCGTGCTGCATATGGCCCTGCTCAAACAGACCTTGTTCGAAAACGGAACATTTGGACAAGTAAGATATTATAATTAATTCCAATGCTGTAATTTTCGTGGTTAAAAACATCTTTCATTGACACGTGATTTCGTGGATGAATATACTCAATAAATCTACTTAAACTAATTTCAACAGTTTGTGCCTTTATGGATGAAGAGTAATCACGAAATCGAAGAAAATAATTCATCCGCGAAAATGAATGATTTTACAGTATGTTATCGCAAAATGTGTGTGTGTTTTTTTTTTTATAAACAAGAGGCAGGGAGTTTCACAAGAAGGAAAGTGGACCCGATGATAGTTACCCAGAATGTAGTCTGTCTTGGAGGCATCGATAGCATCAAACTGAGATTTGTTCCAGACATACTCCGCCCTAGAATCTTTGTGCTTGTCCTTCCAAATCTGAAATGAAATATTTGTTTTCATTATATTGAATATCAGTTTATTATATATAGTAAAATATGAAAAATGTGCCATGCTTTTATTTGGTGACTTTTGTCGGCGAATTATATAATCTAGAGTCGTAAACGATAAAAATCTAAGTTTGAGAACAACATTTGAATGTGATAGATTTCACCCAAGAATCGATCGATAGCTAATTATTTTAATGAAGTCCTGACAAATCGATGAATACACCCACACTAGTTTGATCATATTTATAAAAGCTTGGCAAACGCTATTGTGTCATCGATAGTGCAGTGTTTCCATCCTTTGTTCTGAATTTGTAATTTGCACTGAAAGATAATTGAATTAATAAAATTTGTGCGTGTCTATTTGTTTGTTTGTTTTTTTTTTTTTTAATATTTTGAGCATGCAGACACTTTCAGTAGACCTTAGCTCCCGATGCCAGCCTTATCCTGTATGCATTGTTTTAATTCGAATAAAATCAATATGGAACATAACGGATTTTTGAATTGATTGAATTTTATCACAGCGAATCTCTCTGTTTTTATCACCACTAACATCGGCCAAGTTTAGTTTTCCTCTCACGTTTCAAGAATTTAAGCCAAACCATTAAACAAGGGAGGTAAGTGGGCGGCTTTATTTTATTTTAATTTATTTTTTGGCGGGGGATGCGTTGAATGATTGAATCTGAATATCAGACTTATCAATTGCAAATATTATATATAGCTGTAAATAAAACTAATATATTATAAATATATATTATACTATTATATTGAAATATTATACATATTCTTTTAGTTGTACGGTTACAATTTGCATATACTTTCATATCATATTTTTTGAAAAAGAAGTTTAAAAATTGACGACAAAAATATGAGTTATTGCCTGTAAAAAAACTTCGAGATAACTCAACCTATATGACTATTCCCAAGCGAATGATCATAATAAAAGAATCCACTGGTCATAGCAGATTTGTGTTATCAGGATAGGAAACTCTGGTTTCGATAATTCTGAGTAAGTGACTTCAATTTTCGATATCGAGATGACTTAATGTTAAGACAACAATTACACGCCACAAATTATAAAAAAAAATTTATTTAATAGAAACAGACAACACATGATACCTACAATACTGTACTCTCTCTCTCTCTCTCTCTCTCTCTCTCTCTCTCTCTCTCTCTCTCTCTCTCTCTCTCTCTCTCTCTCTCTCTCTCTCTCTCTCTCTCTCTCTCTCTCTCTCTCTCTCTCTCTCTCTCTCTCTCTCTCTCTCTCTCTCTCTCTCTCTCTCTCTCTCTCTCTCTCTCTCTCTCTCTCTCTCTCTCTCTCTCTCTCTCTTTGTCTCTATACATGTACGGTAATATTTATCTGTACATGTACAAAGAAAATACGTTTGTAGTCACACGAGATATCAAATGAATCTAAGTCTTCACTGAAATCATACATCAAAACTTATTTATTTTAAACACGAAGTTTTTAATTTCTTTCACGTATCAAAATTACAAAGTCTATCAAAGGGAGGTAACTCCCGTTACCTGTGTGAGATCGACACCATCAAGACGTTGAAGTCTGGCACTGTTTCCGTTTACATCTCTGTCATTTTCAGGATCAAGTTGATTTGCTGGCAGGAAATACCGTCGTCCCCCGCCTAACATCACCTTAACACAGACAAGTACATTATTTACCTGTACAATGGAGCATTTAAAAAAAATAATTGAGACGAACATAAATATATATTTACCACATATATGATATATCGCTTGATAGAAACATTTGGAGTGCAAAAGGTATGATTTTGTATAAAATATGTACTATCGCTTTAAACACAGTCTTTTTTTACATGAAAGGAACTGCTGTGGCCGATTCAATATATCGGTATTAACACAATTTTGCTAGTCAAGTCAGTCAACAGACATGAAAGAATCTGGTATAGATGAGTCGGTATATCGGTATTAAGCAACCATTTCAAGTCGGTCAACAGAAAGTAACTGGTTGGCTCTCAGTTTCATCATTTTCGAGAGGTCAAAGAGAATTTTGAAATCTAACAGAGACATTCAATCTTCGCGTCTTCTGTATAAAATTACTTTTTGCTTCAAGCTTTTGATAAAGCAGGAAAATCTCAGCAAATTAAAAGAACAACCTTTACGGTACATCAAATATGATATTGAACGAAACTCTTTAGTTTTGTACTAACGGAATATTAGCCGTAGTATTGATGATAATAGCTTAAAACACATACATGTAAAAACAAGCTGGGAATAGGTCTCACCTTTGCAAAACTATTGTTGTAAACAAGTTGGGAGGCAATGTCGACACACCCTCCGGTCACGCCCACCATATTTGCATCTCCCTCCCAGTCACGTGTTGCTGATTTTGCGTACGCACATGCAGGCGTTGCATGTGTGATTCTTGATGTAGTGACCGCGCCCACTGAACGACCTGTACGTGTGCAATACGTAATTATTATATCAAAGTTTTTAAAATTCGACCAATGATTGCAGATCATCATAATTTTTGTAAAATGTAATTGAAATGTTCAGTATATTCATTTAAGCTAATACAGGTGCTCGTATTGAATTTTGTCTCAATACGGATGTATACACAATAGTATATGTGTAATCTTTTGATACTGTCTTTTTAACTTATAGTAAGTAAGTTGGCATTTATCATGTGTTGATGGCGCAAAAATCGTTATCTATGAGATGAAAAAGAAATGGGCGGCTTGGAACAGAAGATTCTTCATATGTTTTACGTTAAGCTCGCAAAATAGTACTAAAAAGCTGACTTACCATCTTCCCGAAACCAATCGAACACACACGGAATTTCGTTGCCGAACTGAGATGCACAGTCCCGAGCAACGGCGTGATCATTTAAACCAATCAAGCGATAGTTCGTCTTTTCTCCGCACATGATAGCTGTAGCCGTGGAAGCCGATCCTGTCGTCTGTCGGTCATTGGAGTATGTCTGGAAACAGGTCAGAGTTCATTCATTATAGTTATTCAGCCTCCTATTGAGCAACAAAGGCGCAAGGGGAGACAACCTTATTCCATCTGTGCTGGATATAGTGTAAGAAGAATTTAATTGTAAAACCAATTTAAATAGGTAGACAAGGTATTCAAATGGTTTTAGTGAACCAACCTATTGATGTTGTTTACCGTATGATGGCCAAACCATCAAGCAATATGTCGTTACTTCAATGTAAATACATGAAGATGCAGTATAGGAAAAAATCTGTGCAGAAACAAATTCGAAAAACGACTTGTCAGCCATGTTCTTTTAAAGACGTACGAGGTTTGTGTGGTAGTGGAAAGCAGGAATAACCAGGGAAAAACACCGACCTGTGACCAGCATCTGGTGACTTGCAAACATAGGCTTCGAATCCGAGATCCAGAGGTGGAAGGTTAGTGATAAAGACGGTCAAAGGCCTTTACCACTCTACCACCGCGGCCATTATTAACATATCTTTATAAAGTGAGTACGGCTCCTTTGAATAAACCGACAAACCGTAACATTACTAAGGATATGCTGGTTAAGGATAAAAAAACCCAACTAATATGTACGATAATAACATATATATCTGGAACCCTACCGGAAAAAAACCCAACTAATATGTACGATAATAACATATATATCTGGAACCCTACCGGAAATTGTGCTTTATTGTATTGTTGTAAGATTTAAAAAAAAATATGAGAGTTATGTGTTATGAGTTGAAGGTTTCTAACCTTTGATAGTCCAACGTTTGGGAACTTTTCGAACTCGAGGATAGTTTCCTCGCCTGGAGCTCCACGTGTTTGGCCCCGGAGTATCCTACCAGCTGTCACAGTAGACACACCCATACCGTCGCCTATAAATAGAATGACGTTGCGTGCCTTGTTGGTGTTCTGCTTCCGGTTCAAAGCTTTGTTGAGTTCTTGTTGTGCGAGCTCTTTCCAATTGGTGCATTCTGAAAATTCCGATTTGTAAGACGTGTGAATATATCTATTTTTTAAGTTCTTCCAAACGATCGTAATCGTCGTCGTCGTCATCGTCGTTGTCTCTGAAATAAATCTGCATTCAGACTTTCCCTCTTGGTTCCTTGGACGGAAGTCGTCATATTCTAGATGATGTTGTTTCTCATATTTATTCATTAATGATGATATATATAATATTAAACATAAGCCAAAAGCAAACAAACTAACAAAAACAGTCATTCCGAATTATTCCGTATACATTAGATTGCAATTAAAATAATAAGTACATTTTGATACCACAACATATGATAATACATATACATTATTTTGAGAATTTGTCACGATAATTGAAAGGAATTATGCATGTGTACAATGTACAGTGTGTAGAGACACGTGATTTACAGCTTTGTTTCCGCCCTTCTAGAACTCATTATTGGCGAATCGTAAATTTATGGACATTTATTGAATTTTGCAATGCTCTTGTTCATAATTCGACTGTATAAACCGAATTTCCAGACACTGTTTGTTTATATGTATATCACTTGTTTGGTTCCTTTCCTGAGTAAATAAATCCAGAAAAAGTATGTATTTTTCCTGGAGTCTCTCTGTATTATTTACATTGATGTTATTTTTGAAATATTTATTCTCCTTTTCATTGATTAGTAATGATAAAGATTAGTAAAAACATAAGGATAAATACTAAAGACATTAAGAATTATTCAAATCATTTTAATGTTTTACATAATATTACGATCAAAATGTTAATTACATCTTAAAACAATTATTGCAGGGGAGGTAACTCTGATAGTCTCGAAAGAATTATTTTTTTACAATATATTTTTAAGAAGCGTCTTCAATGTTTTTCCTAGCTTTGTCTCACTTGCTTGTGAAAATGTTCTTAACAAGTTATATCTAAAGTCTATGAGATTGCCAACTTCTTTTAAAGAGGTGCACGGGTAAAATAAAAAAAAAAAGAATCCATTCCTCCATGGCTCTGTGTTCGACGCTCAGTAGGGACACTTATTTTTTCTGTTCTTTTTTGTTTCATTTTGTTAATCTGATGACATTTTATTTTTTCTTGGGTTCACTTCCTATGCAAATCTTTGGGGGTATGTATACTGTCGACCTCCAGCGTGAGAGGTGTTGAATATACAATATTATAGATGTACATCATCGTACTTTTTACGTAACATCTGTGGGTGATATCATTCACGGTTTTGATCACATGACACATTCTGAATTTGCATCTAAACTAAGGCAAGCGCTATAGCTCAAGTCTTTGTGCCATCTTCGTTTAAAGAATATGTCTCCTCTATCCGACTAGGATTAGTTCAGCGTGCTATACATGAGCTATATACAGAGATGTATATAAACTTGGCCGAAACGCTTTGTTTCTACTTGATGATGGAAAATTTCGCTACTGCTAAATCGATTAACGGTTAGAAATATTCCAGTAAGTATCAATGCAATCTGCATGGATGAGAGATAAATAATTATGGAGTAAAAACATCTTTCTACTTATCTGTGATTCAGATGGCATTCATGTTAACAATTACTACATCCTGACAACCGTTTTTGTCAGATATACATATCCAATTTACGTGTACACACATTCACTTCACCTAAATATATTCCAAATTCCTCTATCAAAAATAATAATAAAAAATAAAAAGAATAAAAATAAATAAAAAAGACTTACCTGCTAAAACACAAATTGTCAAAAGACTAAATAGGCGTAGTGTTAATTTCTCCATATTTTTTGTGATCTATGCTGTTTCTTTACCACTATTGACCTTCTCCGGTTGTATAATTCATCAAAAGGCTAACTTTAACTCCATCCGGGATCTTGTTACAATTATTTCATATCAGTCGGTACTAGACCTTATGTTGAAAGAAACAGAAGAAGAAAGTTTCAACCAATGAAAGACCACAGCATGGCAGCCATCTTGGATGACGTCATAACTTCGCCTGTCAGAAAACGGCGGTCAGCCGTATTGAATCATTATGACCTGTATCTGGACCACCGCATGTTCGCCCCACTTTTCGTAGATGAAACATTACGACACGTACAGATTGCTCTGGTACGTGATGCAAGTATAATTAGTAACGGGGACAAACATGTTTATATCTATTTCATACAAATTTATTAGCCACTATTCTGCTTAGGTACGGAATACGATGGTTTATAACAAACTCCCAACCTGGGGGTTAGTGATAGAAGTCAGCTGGTCATATGTATATAAATATATATATATATATATATATATACTAAAGTACAACGCGACCCATTGCGATATAAATAAACTATTGTACTGTATACCCTAACACTATTCACTAATATACTTCATACTCCAGAACACCGCCCCAGATATTGATTCCCAGCTGTCAAAGAATATAATATCTATGCATATAAAAATCACCGCTCAGTTTGCTACATCAGCATATCATAAATGTAAATTTTAGTGATGGTTAAGATAACGATGACGATGATGATGATGATGATGATGATGATGATGATGATGATGATGATGATGATGATGATGATGATGATGATGAGGAGGAGGAGGAGGAGGAGGAAGAGGAGGAGGATGTTGACAACGACGACAACGACGACACCGCCCTACTTCACGATAAACATGAAATAAGCAAGAACACCTTGACAGTAATAACAACGTCTCCTGGGCAAAACATCCGAAGAGTTCTGACTATCTACCCACAATTTTATTTTTGTCTTGACGATATTCAAAATTTATCCAAATATAAAAACACCAAATTCTAGTGACTCTAGCAAGGCTCGGCATTCAGGCAATGTTTTACACAGCCAAACTCGCGAGAGTTTACTTTTCGTTAGGTATACAAATCAAATCTAGGGAGATTCCTCATACTGATCGCCATTGTAAATATGCTGGAAAGTGAAGCTGTTTGGTGGGAAACTCGTCAATTTTCATGAAGAATCAATGAATTTTCTGCAGTGACTTATTATTTGGTCTCTGGTCAAATTTCGGTATGTAGTAACTCGGACAAGACATGAATGTAAATATTTTAACGTTGTGCAGGGCATGTTGGGATGAGATTATATATACAATGTTATAACTATTCATTTCGTGTCTTATCACATGAAGCCCTACCTCCCGCAGCTGATCATAATTCTACTAATTAAACATGTATGTCTGCGCATGTGTTACCACTCCGCCACCACCACGGTCATCGCCCCCTGTGGCGCAGTGGTAACGCAATTCATGCAGGTGACAGGTTTCATACGCCATTCACAGTAAGGAAGTGATTAATAATGTGTGTGTGTGTGTGTGTGTGTGTGTGTATGTATGTATGTATGTATGTATGTATGCTCACGTAGATACTATTCTAATTCATATTACTCTTTAAGATACTACTCTCATGAAGGCTTCTCTTATTGATACAACTCTAGTAGATGCTACTGGCTAGATACCACTCTTATAGATACTGCAGGTACCGTCATATATACTGCTCTTATTTTGATTCAAAGGTACTATTCACTCACTGGTGTGTCGTTTGTACAATTGTCAAGATCGCAGCAGGTGGTAGATACTGCTAGAGGACGTTTCATACCTGATGTTTGCCGTAACTTGCATGTCACGTCTCAATTCACTCTAATAGTGACACGGGTTAAAATATAAACATTTACTTTATGTTCTTTTACAATTATCATGCACTTGAAAACAAAAACCGAAATTTGTAAAATTTTTGAGCTTGTGCATGTGAGGTCGGTTCTATCTCATATTGTTATGTAATCTCAAATTCAAGTGGTACAAAATATTAACAAAAGAAAAATGTACCCAGAGACACCTGGAAAATACATGGAGAATAAGGCCAGGTGTTCCGGAAGAGTAAGCGTCTTCTGCTTCATCGATGACACCAGCATTTGTCAATTCGAGTGAGAAATGTCACGTTCTCAAACGAGAACAAGGTATACAACAACAAAACCAACAGACAAACTAACGAGCATCAAGCAGGTCCAGCTTCTTATAACTTCATATATACCTTCTCTTGTAGATCCTCATAATAACAATGTGGTCCTAACGAAAAAGATGAAACCAGCTGATTAACGGAGTAATTTTGTTATACTATACATGTAGATATCAGTTACACTGTGGTTCTTATTGTTGAGCTAAGAACTGACAAAAACTCATACTAGCCTAGATAGTAGTGGAATGAGAGACTTCTATAGATACTGAAGCTCGGTAAGGCCTCAGGAGACGGTAAGGCCTCAGGAGACGGTAGGACCTCAGGAGACGGTAAGGCCTCGGAAGACGGTAAAGTCATAGGAGACGGTAAGGCCTCAGGAGACAAGACGGTAAAGCCTCAGGAGACGGTAAGGCATCAGGAGACGAGACGGTAAGGCCTCAGGAGACGGTAAGGCCTCAGGTGACGGTAAAGTCATAGGAGACGGTAAGGCCTCAGGAGACGGTAAAACCTCAGAACACGGTAATGCCTCAGGAGACGTTAAAGCCTCATGAGACGAGACGGTAAGGCATCAGGAGACGGTAAAGCCTCAGGAGACGGTAAGGCCTCAGGAGATGGTAAGGCCTCAGGTGACAGTAAAGTCATAGGAGACGGTAAGGCCTCAGGAGACGGTAAAACCTCAGAACACGGTAATGCCTCAGGAGACGTTAAAGCCTCATGAGACGAGACGGTAACGCCTCAAGACACGGTAAGGCCTCGGGAGACGGTAAAGCCTCAGGAGACGGTAAGGCCTCGGGAGACGAGATGGTAAGGCATCAGGAGACGGTAAAGCCTCAGGTGACGGTAAAGTCATAGGAGACGGTAAGGCCTCAGGAGACGGTAAAACCTCAGAACACGGTAATGCCTCAGGAGACGTTAAAGCCTCATGAGACGAGACGGTAAGGCCTCAAGACACGGTAAGGCCTCGGGAGACGGTAAAGCCTCAGGAGACGGTAAGGCCTCAGGAGACGGTAAGGCCTCGGAAGACGGTAAAGTCATAGGAG